CCATTTTGGAATTATGAGTGTACGTCGTGCGTTAAGTAGTGGATATAAAAAAAATTGTTTAAAAACTAAAATCTTAAAAAAATAACAGACAATTATTTTAACGCCACTTAAGAAAAATAAAACAAAAGGCAAGCGCAAGCATTCGGCATTTAGTCAAAATATTCAAACAAAAAAGTCAAATGTTAATGAATATTTAAGATTAAAATAAATAACATTTAAAATATAAGATAATACAAAGTACATTTGTCATTTAATTTGCCCAAGCTCGCTTTATAATTCTTTGACGATTTCATATTTGGCATTAATTCTTTAAAAATTATTAATTTTTTTTAGAGGCAAATATAGTGAAATTGAGTTGCAAATGTTATAACACATTTTCGCAGACAGAAAATAATATATTTGTTTTTTTATAAAGCAGCGACGTCGATTTTATATTGAATAAAAAATCTCACATAAATAAGTTCTTTAGTCTTGCTTGCACGTGTTAACTCTTTTGAGAAAACATTTTTAATAAACATGGAAACAGGCCGATTATGTTAAGTTGAACTACTAATCTAACGTATTGAAGTCCTTAAGATCAACTTGGAGAACTCAATCGAATAGTTTCAAGTGAAATGATCTTTACGAACAAATCATTTCACTTTTATACTTTTATATCATATATTGCTGATCACATATTGTTCTAATCAACAATATTTGTTTTTAATTCTTCCATCGAAACATTCGCACTGCGGTTTTCTGACGGTTTGATCAGCAACTAAGAAGAGCTTTTAGTTTACGTTAAAAATTTTAATTCCCAGGGTGGCTCCCTTTGATATAAATAAACAAAATTTTGTTAATATAATTTGAGAAACGGCGATGTAAGCCTTTGGAGTATCACTTATATTTTGACAATAAACCTGAAATAGAAAATTTGTGTAATTTGCAGACGATATTGAAATGTGTGTTTCATGATGAAATTGTATTTTGCGCAAAAATGAAAGACTAAAAGCGACTAGACCAACTGGACGTCATAATCTTAAAATCAGTGTAAAGTTTAAATTTGATAAAAAAAGGAAATTTTGCTCACCACAATACCACAAGTTTCTCTTATATATCAACATTTTTATAACCTATATCACTTAAGCTACGGCATATGTTAACATTGTGCGTATATTTGTACTGCCCAGAAACACTTAAGATAGACTCATTCTCATCATACCGAGCGATTCACAATCATTTCTTTAGGTCATATTTTTTTAGAACTCGCCAGATACTCATGAAAAATAAGCAATCTTTAATTTAAAGTTTCATATACCGAAAACATGAAAAACCGAAAACGTGAAAAATAATAAAATCCTTAATTTTTAAAAAAAATTTGCTAACATTGGATCACGTCATTTGACGTTTTGGATATTCTGCAATATGATGGCTTTAATGAAAAAGATGTTGTCACGTGAAGTAATGTATAATTTTTAATGTGTTATCACAAAAATAAATAAATATGTGGGAATTATTAAAAGTTTTAGAAATAATGATAGGCCTGTTAAGATATATTAAGAATGTAAAATAGTTAATTAATAAATTGGTGCAGGGAAAACTCGAGTTTTTTATTAAAAATTAATTGCGGTCGGCTACGTGTTTGTTACGGGATATTTTTATTATTGTGAGTGTTTCTTGCGTCACTATTTTGACAACCAATAATTTATGGACACCACATTAGTGCGCCCGATAAAGAAATAAATAACCTTATTTTCTGTTTGACCTTAAATCATACACTTTTCTACTCACTTGTTTTTTCGTGAAACATTTTATTACTTATTAGTGCACTTATTAATTATCATCCAAATTTCCAAAATCCGAAGAAACAAGTGACCTATGGCTACAGTAAAACAACATTTGACGTGTTACAGAGAAGGTACTATCTTTCTGGAAGACTAACCTCTATCTTTGGTTTGGTCAATTGGCAAGTCAATTTTTTACAGCTGGAAATACTTTAGATACCACCAGATAACACACCCTAGTCGGTGCTGTTGAACCGATGCCCTTTATGCAGTACGTCACATCAATGAGAATCCGCTCAATCAAAATTTACAGCAAGCTACAAAAAGCGCATTGTTAAGCGAATTTCAAAAAGAAAGAACTCTTCGAAAATTGGTGATAAGAAGCCTTCACCAATTTTACTGGAATTGCGCCAATTATCTACCGGAAATGTGTCAGATGATCTACTGAAGTCTTTACGGTTCCAGTGAAGCAAATAAAACCATTTCGTCAGTTAGCTCAGAGAGCTTAGACGAATGTGCAGTTATAACAGACAAGATTAATGATCAATTACATTGTCCCTCAATAAGCACAGCGATTTCGACGAATCGAACATATCAATGGAACGAAGTTGCATACAATATCAAAACAGAAGAAAAAATTTGTTACACCTTTTCAAAACCTACAACGAATGGCGGTCATGCAGTGATTACAGAGCTCTCAGTGAAATCACGGTCCCGGACAGATATCCTGTATCACATTTGCACCATTTTTCAGTTAATTTACTTACCTTACTTCCAAATCATTGTTGAAGAAGCAGACATACCCAAAAGAGTTACTAAAACGCCAATACAAGGATAACTACTAAGAACTATCTTTCTTAGGATATTTAACAACATCAAAAGGACTATCACTAAATCCAGAACGTGTAAAAGCAAAAGAAAAATACGAACTACCAGGAAACATACATGGTCTTCGGCAATTTCTTGTTCTTATAAATTTTTGTCGAAAGACAGAAGACGAATAAAGGAAATATTATTTGCATAGATAAACTAAGAAACGCATTCAATTGTTGCAAAAGCAACTTATCGATACTTTTGCCCCACCCGATTAAAGCATCAATTCTATCACTTTGAAATCACGTTTCAGATCTTGGTATGAAAACACCTTCATAACAAAGTTAATGATACTTGGGCATCGCTTAGAGGTTGCTCAAAAAAGAAACAATGCCGTTATAGCACTTACTATATGGAAGGCCAATCGGTAACGTACAAATCCCTGCAGAACGTTTTAAACACATAAGCGCCGACATTATTGGTCCACTCAAAAATTACAAATATTGTCGTGCATGTATTGATTTCAAAATTGGCCGAATTTCGTACCTCTGGAGGGTAACTGCTGAGTTAGTTGCTAACGTTTTGCTTCATGGCTGGATTTCTAGATTTGGTGTACTAACCCAAATCACATACGATCAAGACAGACAGTGGCAATCTTCCAATTCCAAGTCCGTGAAGTTTGTTGTGCTCGGACAATGCTACAAGGACTACAAAAGTCCAAAAGATTAGTGGAAGTTTATCCACCTTTTAAAAACCATATATATATATATATAATAAAGTTAACCACGTACTATGCTCCTCTTAAAACGAATAATATTATTGCGAAAATCGCATGTTTGCTATGGGGATAAGTGGAAGTAAGTGGAAAAGGAACGTACGTAAAGGAAAGGAATATACGTAGCAATGTTATATTAGGCACTTGCGCGTTTTTTGATCACCGACATCCATTGTTAATAGTAATGCAAAGCGCATCAATGTAAATTCGATGATTTTGACCATTCTCTATATAAAGAAATAGTTTTACGTTTAGTATTATTGAGTTATTCAGTGCATACATAAGCCTATGGTTTTACTGCTCCATCATATCTAAATTTTTTTATCGGTTTAAAAATGCTCATTTTGATGTCAATAACAAAGAACGGCCTGGAGGACCAAAAAGCTTGGAACACAATGAGTTGCAGGAGCTATTGGACGAAAACTCAGCTCAAACTCTCAAAGAAGTTTCGAACAGCTTAGCCGTTGATGAATTAGCTTTTTCTAAACATGCGATAGGAAAGATCCGAAAGGGAGGCAAATGTCTACCATATTCATTGACTGAAAACGTCGTTTCGAACAATTTCAACAACGCGATGCATTCCAAGCAAATAACAAAGAGATTTCTGTGGCGTATTGTGTCGATGAAAAATAGTCTACTATTGCAATCCCAAGCCCAAAAAGTTATATTTATGGCCACAAAGTTTTGCTGTGTCTAATAGTATTTTGACTATTGCAATTTCCGGCTTTACAGCCTGATTAATGAAGATTAGATGAAGTTTTAGATTGCAAATGTACTTCTATTTGATCGGCTATTAAGAAGTCACAAATTGTAGGTACAGTGAGTTGTGGCGAAATTATTAGACGTCACCCTCTTTATTATTGTAACATTGTTATGCTGCCATTTCGGCCTCACGTTGCAATAGTTGCCAAGGATGCACTATTGCAGTTCGAATGGAAAATTCTGACGCACCCAACCTACTCACCAGATAGAGCGCCATCTGATTAGAGCTTGTTCAGATCTATGCAGCATGGCTTACCTGCCACGCGGTTTCGAAATGGTGAAGAAGTGCAAAAATGGGTCGATGATTGGATCGCCGCCAAATGAATATCTCCTTTCTTCGGCACGGTATCGCCGCGTTGCCAGAAAGATGATAAAAAGTTGTAGAAAATTGCATATATTGTATCAATTTTTCTCAATAAATGCCGTTTCCAAGTAAAAAGTGATCAGAACACATGTATATACATGTCATCCAACGTGTAAATATAAAACACAGTGTAAACACAGAATGTATGCACTACTAATGCTTTTGCTCTTGCTCTTACTACAAGTACATGCGCTATGATATTCAAAGCGCAAATAACCACGATCTAAGAAAGCATTAACAACGAAAGTAAATATCCACGACGTTCCTGTTTAGACCAGCTGGACGTAGTGGGTTGCGAGTTTATTCAATCAAAGGAAATTGTCACCAAAGGAATTGTCAATTATCAGGGGACCCTACCAACAATTTAGCCGGAAAATGGATCTAATATAGACAATACTCACACTACGGTGTTCTTTCAACGCGACGACGTCCTCTACGGACAGGCGCCCTCTGTGTATAGAATTCATATTATGCCTGAAAGATAAAAGAAGTACTAGCTGGCAATAGATAACATTTCGAAGTACCTCGTGACTTTCTTTTATAATTAAGATCTAATGTTACTAAAAAAGTCTATAGAAACATATTTGCAGTTCTAATACATAATACTTCTAAATTGACATCTTAAGATTGGTATTCTTTAACATTTATTAGGAGGCTTAATTCATTATAACTTATTAACAGCTTTTCTCTTTTATTTATATTAGTTCGTTTCAAAGCAATTTCTAATGAATATATTAATTCCTACGACTTCTTCATTAATTAGTGAGTCATTAACTTAAGCGTTTTCCTTCCGTAGAAGTGTGCATTATAACTAAAACGTTCCGTTTGCTTGGCTTCCAAAACAATGTGAATCGAACGTTGACCAATACCGCCAGATACTACGTGAGCGTTGCCCTCTTGGGTATCTTGTAGAGTATCGATTTCTATATAAGTTAAAATATCACCAGTGCCACCTTTTTCTGTATAAAGAAGATCAACACTGACATCCTTTTTCGCAGGATAGTCCGATGCATCAGCAAGCTGCGCTAATAAGTGGTCGTCTGAAAACGTTATACTTTCGCATAAAATTGGCAATCTTGCGGTTACCAAATCTAGTCTTGAAACAAATGAAAAAGTTACATTCATCTTGGGGCGTATCTGAATTACCATTCACTTTGTAGCAAAGCAATCAAGGCAAGCAAGGCTATTTGTGGACAATAAAGGTTCGATTTCCATCCAAATTTCAATTTCATTAAATTTTCGACTGATATCTGCTGTACTAGTTACAAAGATAATCGACATACGTTCGCAAGCGCCAATGAACCTTTCTGAACCAAATTGAATTTTTACATTGATTAAGTGTATGCGCATAAAGGGTCTAATAATATTTGTGGGTATTGGATAAATATTGTATCTCCATCTTTTTCTATACTATAAAATAATATTGCAGTAGTGCAAAAATAAAAAATTACAAATTTCTCAAAAACTTTAATATAATTTTCAGTAAAATTTTCTTTATTATATTATTTTTTCTGCAATTGTTTTCTATTTTTAGTTTTAGCTATAATCGCACTACGTATTTCATTTATAAGAATACTGTTTGGCAGCCTCTCTATGCGACTATTGAGAGTCTATCAGAATTAGGAGACTAAAGGATAGAAACATGAAAATTTATACGCGTACTTTTAGTTTGTTTTTTTTTTCAACCGATTTGTGCATGGGTTCGGTCCTCTAACAAACCCATATAACTAATGCCTGCATCTATAAGGCTCAGAAATAAATAATAAAAAGTCCATAAAACACACATGTTATCGCAAATATATCCGCCGCCGCCAAAATTTGCAAAAATTAAGGTAGAAATATAAAATTTAATGTATATATATATGAAAACTATACATAAAATATTTTCCATATCAATTTTGAAAGCTATGTGAAACGCTCATAAACATTTATTCAATGGTTGCAAAGCGTGAACAATTTAAAAAAAAATATGAAAAATTTGAATAAGTTTTTACAGACAATTTTTATATTTTGTAGTACATATTTGGATGGAAGTCTCAGGCCGCCTTCTCGATCGTTTCGCTATCACAGTCTCGAGAAAACAAAACTATTCGATTTTCTTGTATTCACCACAAGTGTTTAGTATTTAAAATATGCCACAAGGTCCTTGTAACTCCTTTTTTGTTTTTTACTTACTTTCTCCTTTAATACCCAACATATATCTCACCGCCCAAACAGGACTGGATTTTCTTTGTTTTTGTAAAGGCATAACTCTCAACGCTGAATGGTTTTCTAAAAGACCTTCAATATTCTGAACAACTAAAACGTTTTGTACTTTTATGCTTTCGGGCATACTTGTACTATTTGTTTCCATTAAGCGAAGAAAATAAATCCAAATAAATATTATACTATAATGAACCATTTTTAACACTAAACTTCTTCACTTTGCGCTCTTTTAATAACTGGAGATTCTCGTGTAATTTTACCAGAATTTATACTATTTTATAATTATTTATTTTGCAGCTTTTATCAGGAAGCGTAAATAAATAATAGGTTAAACAACCATTTTTTCTTTTTTTATTTACCTTCGAAATCGTGAGTTTGTTAAAATTAATTGACAGTGATAAGAATTGTTTGACCAAACTTTGCTATAATTCATCATTAGTAATTTCTGTTAGACTCAGTCTAATAAATTCTATTAGCCACTATAGGTCGTGGATAGTCTAAGGATTAATGCCATCTGACTTTGAAACTTATCTAGAAGAGAAATGAGAATTTTAAGCTGTGACCGAAGGCATCGCTTGAAAAAAAAAGCATTGCCAATGCATTACTTTACAATGAAAATAAGAAAAATACTGAAAATTACTTAATTACCAAAATAGGGTAAATACAATTGTACTTTTCTGTTGAATAGTCTAATTATACAGCATTTTTCGCGTATACAATAGACTGAGAGCGTTTATCTCGTAATGCATAGAGGCAAAACCGAACTTATTGCATTCTTTTTGACTTCGTTTTAAATTTAATAATGGAGGCATGTAAGAAATATTTAAATAAGCAAACAGCGCTCATAGATAACTTATGCTGAGTTTTTCGGTATCTGGCCGTCCATTTTCCTATTTTTTTTTGCTTTTTGAAGCTACGTTTTATCATTTATTCTTTTTTGTCCATATATGTTCACCTAAAATATACCGTTTGAAACGAGAAGAGTACAAGGCTTACCCTGTGCAACATTTCGTTAACAATAACACATCCAATCCAAAAATTTAGGTCAACATGCATGTGTCACAATGCTCCCATGCCAATTAAAAGTAAAACTCCAAGTAGTGCGAAGTATACGATTGCACGTGAAAGTTTGAGAAGGAAAATCACTTATATTTGTCTTAACTTATCCATTACCGTTATCAGCAAACCACATTGTGGAATATTTTTCGAGCACATCAAAAGAATTGCAAATTTCCGGTATGTGATTTCAACAGGATGCGATAATGAAACGAACCATATTGGTGGAAAGGAAGTTCAGAGAAGATCGCTGTTTGTAAAAAAACGCCTAAGTTTACGCCGAACATAAAATGATACTTAAAAGATTCCATCTCTTTGAATGGAAACAAATTTAACCTATGCCAGAATTTCATCACAAATTGAATCAAAAATAACTCATTACTCAACTAATTATCTTAATCTTAAGTTATCTTAATTTTATATATATTGCAAGTTTCTCTCTGCTCTTCAGAACGGTTTTTCCGCATAATTCTAATTTGTACTTGTGCGATTTTGGTCGCGAAAATTTGCAAATTGCAATTTCTTGTTTGGTATAATGACTTTTCCAAAAGACGGTGTTGCATATGGAATGCTCGCACCAATGGTGCGATCTAATACATTTTCATTAGGGTTCGAGCCCAATAATACATAAGCTGAGTTCAAGGGGGCAGAATAAAAGTTTACCGTATTTTAAGTCCTTCCGGATGTTACACACATCTGCACAAACTTAATATACACCATACTACATGTGGTGAAGTGTACAAATATTCATCTCCAGATATAGCAAATATAGTTATTAATAGACTTTCAGAATTTGACCTTTCCCAATATAATCAATCTACAAATTGCAGCAGCAAATTATCGCACCTAAAATTCGTATATGTACCCCAGATATGTATTAACCGTTCGTTTGAACCGAAGGTATCCACCATCCAACCTTTATATTACCCGTCTGTCCCACCAACATAATGATGAGATAAATCCTGCTTCTATCTACGCAAAATATACCTCCAGTAAAGCGAATATCAAATTTCTGTATACTATCCAAGTTTATTTTTGACTACGCAGGTGATGACATAGATGCTTAGCCATTTATGCACCCGTCCTTACTAGACAACATTCCCATCGGACTTCCTCCCACTCTGGCTCCACAGAAAACTAAAGTTTCTTAAAAAAGAAATAAATTATGTAGGAAATATTTGAAAAGTGGCTCAGTCTATACTTAATCGAAATACTCCAATGCATGATAAAAATTCAAGCCCATCAATTATTATAAAGATAAAATCCTCACTGTTATGAAATTCAAATTATTTTTGCAAATTTTTAAACTCAAAATATGAAATAACCTTTCTTCCTTCGTCGACCCTCATTTATACCAAACGTTGCGCGTTGATGAACTTTTGTGGTGTTAAACCAAGGATCTTCAACTTTTCTGGTTTCCTATTACTTTGAAAAAGCAGTTTTTTTTATCGCAATTCATAAAAACAGTAGCAGATAAGTAGTGAAGAATTAAAGAGGAAAAGCTAAATCGGTTGATCTACGGAAGCCATTCGAGTATATTCTTGTTCGACATACGACTTTTGCAATAAAATCTTATGTATCTCCGTATCAATATACATTTTTGTAATGGGAATTAATAACAAAATAAAATAGAATTAATTCGCTTGAGTGGCCGAAGGCGCGGAATCCCGACTACCGACTCAATGGTCGTGGGTTCGAATCTCAAGTGCGGTGGAGTTTTTAATAAAAAGCCGATAGCTTTAGATACTAGTGCTTTTAAGAGTTTAGTCTGAGAATCTATTTCGCTGGCGAAATTAATAATAATAATTATAAAATATAATTGTTTTTATTTGTAAAGTATTTGTTGAGTTCTTTATTGACCCATTATTATTCAGTCAAATAACGAATTAATTTAAAAAGAAAACTTACAACCAACATCAAAATAATTAGAAACTCTCACGACTACCTATAAAATAATTTTTTATGTTATATATTGATGCCCTACACCACGAACCACATCAAACAAATGAAAAGTCCAGTCTTCTCCATTAGATATCAAAAACAGAAAATTAAATGAATAAACCAAAATTAAATGCATACGAAATTAATAATAATAATAATAATAATAAATGCATACATAAGAAATTAAATGTTTATACGATGTGATTAGTCAGAAATTCGAAAGCAAACATAGGGCATTAGTTAAATGTGATATTTTGAAATTTTAACAAACTTAGCAACAAATTATCTGACGTCAAAAGCAACACCATTAATAACTACAACAAAGACAACGTCAACACTAACAGCACTACCACAACAACATAATGGCAGTAGGACCAGCCGAACAAACAAAAAGAATATATAGCAACAATACCATCAATAGTAACAGTGTCAATAACACTGAGCACCTATAAGTACTAGTGCAAAATTATTACAGTAAAAGACAGCAGAAGGAGCACTAACAGCAACCACAGCAGCAATGGTCATAACACAACGATAACGTCACCAGAGAGAATAACAGCAACAGCAACAGCAACGAGTAAACAAAATCGCGCCATTAACAACAAGAATAAGAGCATCACCAGCAGCAGTAAATATAATAAAAGATAACAGTACAAAGCAACCACAACAAATCAGCAGAAACAATTTATAATATACAAAAGAGCCGCGCAGCGCTTTTACGTCCCCATCTCGGCAATAGGCCCAATAAATTCTTTCCCCAAATTCCCTTAAACCTCAAAGGCGCGATAGGTTGGTTGGACATGCCAACACATGTTGAATGCCCGATCGGTGTGGGAGCTTTGCACCCTTGTACGCCTCGGTAATTGAGGCCACTGTACCATTTGCGCAATCCGGTTCACACACTAAGCTTCGATACAGTTCTTTTTCAATCCCAAAAAATTTTTTTATACAGTAAGGCAAGTTGGGCAGAAATCAATCACGTTTGTCCCGGCTTGAAAGATTAGCATGCTCGATGCCAACTTTATTCTTTCGAACGAAGGCCGTTAAAAAGATCCTAGCTAATCTCAACACTCGCGAAACCCGAGGCCAGATGACATCGCAGCCATAGTGCATAAAAAGGAGTGTGTTATGATAGTCGTCATGCCATTATACAATCGCGTCAGAAAATGCTCCCGTGCTGGCACTTTCTTAACTTTCTAGGGGATTGTCAATGTTCAACCAGTAAATAAGATGGATAACCTCAATTATCCTGCTAATTACAGCCCAATTGTAATTTGCTCGGCTATAGCTGACGCAACGGTCAACTACACCCTGGTAGAATCTCCTTTACAATCCAACGATCTAATTTACGATAGACAATACAGCGTATTCAAATATCAGTTCGCTGCGGACCTTATGTAACACCTCACAGAAAAATGGAATCGAACTATTTGCCATTTCGGCGAGAGAAAGATATCAAAAGACATTTGACAGAGTATGACATGATGTTTTAGTCTCCAAACTGATAAAAATATTGAAGAAAAAATTAAATTTTGATACACTTTAATAATGGATAGGCATGCTCAATTTTTTCCATTTTTGTACAAATGCAGCATTACCCATAGAATATCCGTTCAAATTTGTGTACATTTATCTGGTATAGTTTATAAATAATGAACACGAAACAATTTTTTATTCCGTTTGAAGAAGAGAGGTGTTCTAGCACAGTAGGCGTGTTCTTGGACCGATTTAGCCCATTCTTTGGTGAAAGATATAAAAAGTTGTTGTGTTATAATTCGTCTTTATCTAATTTACTTATATATATTTATTCGTTTTATTTGCATACACACGTCCTTAACCAATCTTCCGCGTAATACATAAATTATTATTATTATTATTATTATTTATTTCACATATATATATCTATAGAATACATCCTAAACTATTATTGAAATACTTGTTTTTATTGCGACTGTTTCTTTTTACTTTAGCATTATCATCGCTGTTATAATTTTTGACTTTCGATAAGACTGTTATTCTCTCGTTGATCATTATCGATGAAACTACTCAATTTTTTATATGTCACAATTTAAATGATATCGGTATAAACTAATTCCATAAGATAGACTATGTCATGGTGTATGAATACAAAATGTATTCCTAGATGTGGAAAGGCTTGCGATAAAAACTTCTTCCAACTCGTACGTATTTGCTGCTTAAGGCCTATTCGCAAAACAGACGTGTCCATGCTAAAGTAAAATATCAATATATAAGGTTGCAGATGGATTGCCCCAGAGAAATGATTTAGGTCCAATACTCTACCCAATTTTCACTTCAGATTTTCCGATTGCTGACAATATTTTAACTGCGACATGCACCGATGACACAGAAATGCTATTTTCGTCTGGAACTACAAATTCGTCTTTCAATTGAAAATTTAGCTTTGGTTGAACAAATGGAACATTAAAATACTTGCTGAAAAATGTGCGCATAATACATAGATTTTGTAATCGTTAAAAATATTTTCATTGCGACATACGCTAATGGCACAAAAATTCTACTTTCATTTAGAACTGCAAATTCACCTTAACAAAATTTTGTTGGAAATAGCCAGTAATTTTAATATTGAAATACTCCTAAAATATCAATCTAAATCTTCGTCTTGTTGTTAATGCGCCGTGGTTCGTTACCAACAAAAGCATTCATAAAAACCTGGACTTTCCATTCATCAAAAATGTAATTTAATGCATTTCTTCAAAATATTTTCTTAAACTGAACAATCACGTAAATCCCTTGACAATACTTCGTCGGGATGAATCCAATGACCTATTAAGATCTTCCGTTTAGAAATTAATTTATTCTTGTTCCTTGATGATTTCAATCTATTTTCTAAGTATATACCGTTTCGTTCTGTTAATTTAAATCATTTTATCCTCTGCTACTTTTCTTAACTTGCTGTGACATTTACTTACTATCCTTATGCATAGATTGCAAATTAAAAGTGTACTAAAATAAATATATATATATATATATATATATATATATATATATAAATATATACTATACTATAACATAACTTAGCCATAATTTTGTTCAAATTTTTATATTTTGCATCACATATATCGCGTGCAACCTATAGTTGCATTATGTTGTTTAAATAAATGTTATAGGATTAAGGATTATTCTTTTAACTTTAATCACCCTTTATAGCCTATACCACTTGTAGCACACAATAAGTTAGCTCTGTGTGAGTATATGTGTAACACCCAGAAGAAGTAAAGATAAACTTACATGTTCATCTGATGTCCTCATCTATTTTGTGTTCGACTTACAGATAGCATTTTTGACTTATTTTTAAGAGCTGTTTTGCACTGGCAGTTTTGAAAGCCAAGAAAAAGCTTTGCTGGAAACCAATTTTCTCAGCGTACTTTTGCTTTATTTCGAGAAATCCTTACGTGGAGAAAGTTGGAACCCGAATTTCTCAATAAATGAGACTGTACTATGAAAGGTAACTCTTTGTAAGGCTGCAATGAATCGTATGCCTTTCTATGGAAAAGAAAGGTATAATTTTTCGTCTTTTCTTAAAAAAATAAAGGAAGAATTGCATTAGATGAACCGATGTAAGATATTTCGTTGTTAGGCTTTCCCAGCTATAAAAGTGTTATTTATTTTTAGATTATTTGAGTCTTTACTTCTATTCTTTCGCATTTTTTTCTAAATTTTTCGATTTCGAAAAAGCCGACAAACCTCCGAAGAAAACAGGAATATGGTTAAATAAAATTGAAATCTCTGAGCCGTCGTGGTAGGTTGTTCATTGGTTTCTATTTCATGTATCGAACTGTTTCTAACGAAACAACAAATTGGTTTCTCATTACCGCCTGCTACAAAAAGACCATATAATGTTGATTATGTTATTATCGGTTGGTAGAATCACGAGAGGCTTCTCTAAGATGTTAACTTATTATTATTTCTAAAACCAATAAAATGTCTATTTGATTACACTTTTATTTACTAATTTATCCTTGCTTGTACTCAGAATCCACGTCCAAGTTAGTGTTAGCAAGTTCAAATCTCAACTCCAATAGAGTTCACTGTTGTCGTAGCTACAGTGAGTGCTCAGCCAGTAAAGGCGAAACACTTACAGATTGGGCTACACTACCTACACTATAGCATACTGCCCTTATCTTTTTCTCTTTCATCACTTCTTTCTACCATCACCATGTTTATTGATTTAAGATTGCTGCGTTACCAATGGGATTAGTAAACATTAATAGAGAAAACGACATAATAATAAAGGCAGATATGTTAAGTTCAGCCGATCTTAAATCTACTAGATTGCATAAAGCAAACTATTTATTTAATTTGCCTAAAAGTTTGGGCTATCAAAATTTTTTTTTTTATTACATTCTATGCCCAACGTGTTGTAATTCTCCTTTATTATTGCACATAAGACACGAAATGGATTAGACAGAAGGTAAACACAAGTAAGGAACATCCCCTGAGTGATTACTCATATTAAAAAAAAAATAATTTATTGTTGCGAAATTCGCACGATTCGTATCGCTAGATCGTGATTTTTCTAAGAGAAATACGCTTGCACGTTTTCACTACAAGCTTCTTTTATTTATAATCAATTTGTTTAAGGGTAGAACTATTTACATTTTACTTTGGCACTACTCTCGGCTTCTCAACTTTAATATTCTCTTTTGACTCAAATGTTCTTGTCTGCCTTTCGCAAATATTCTACTTATATACATTTTTACAAGGAAATTACTATTGCCTAAGTTCATGACTTCCTTTTTAATCCGTTAACCTGCTTTTCCGCTAATCTTTTTCATCGGCCGACAGCTGCATGACGCGTCGCGAATATGCACTTGGTTTTTCGCTATCTAGGGAATTTATTTTTGTGGGAAAATTAATTAGCTGGAATGAACCGGGTTTGGGTTTTCAGTAACATTCTGTTTGTAGGCAAAAATGTTTATATTTGCGACATTATATTAGATGAGTACCAAAATGCTTTTAAACCAACAAAAATATGAATGAAATATAGTTATGGTCCTTGAAAATGAGAGTAAAGCAGATTTTATTTCATAAATTCTTATAGTGTATAGAAATTGTAATAAAACTGTTGCCTTACGTTCCTATATTAATTTACATTAAAAAAGAAAACAATGTTGCAATATTCAATGTTAAAGAAAATGTGTAAAATTTTTCTTTATTTTGATATGAAATCAAAAAAAAATATAATAATTATAACTTGGGATTCTTAATCATGGATGGGCAATATACGAGCATGTATGTTACAAAGTATCGTATGAGTTTCCATAGGAAGCAAAATAAGTAAAAGCATTATAGCCAGTTAAAATTAACCATTTAAATATCCTACATCACTTCACTTAACACAATTTTTCATTTATATATTCGATGAAATACCAATAATTTTACCGTGTTCCCATCTAAAAGCGTCCCTTCCAGAGGAGCCCTTTCACGGTAGAGGGCTCATAGCGTAACCTGACATGATTCGAATTAGCAAATTTATTTTCTTGTCAAAGTTTTCTCTTCACCTACTTGCGTCACAAAGTACTAAAAATTAGATTTTATTGCCAAAAAAAGGACTTACTCCCGAAATCCTGTACACGTATGTGATAAAATGAAATATTTTATGCCGAATTACTATTACAGACCAATGTTTATCATAAAATATTGAAAATTAGGATTTCCCATATAAAGGCTTACTTCTTTTAGGAACGTTGTAAGGTCTTATAGAGGCTTAAAAAAACCTCCCATTCAATTCAAATTCTCCACGTTTAGTTCATATGCAAAAATGCTAGCTTTTATAGTTTTTTGTCAAGAAATAGCAATATTAAAAATTGCAAATCTTATGACCTACACCATATATATGACACTTAGAGGGTATTAAGAAGGACCCACCTTTTATTATGCCGGTCGCTTCAGAATCATTTTCGAAGTTTATTTAAGCATGTCCGGCTATTCGTCCAACGTCTGCCCATGTATTTATATGTACCACCTACAGCTCGCAATTTTTGAAATATTCTGAAAAAATTCAGTACCTTGATGTGTTTTGGCCCAGGGACAAAGAATACTGAACACGGCTTGGATCTGACTATTTTACGACCAGTCCCCATTTAACATCTTATTTTGGGACAGTTGTCCTATGCAAAAAATATACAAGTTTTTACATTTTCTCACAAAAATCGCTGAGTAATAGTACTTCGGCATAGTAAATTCGTGAAAAGTTTGGATCGGATGGGTTCATATTTCGTGTATCCCATCCCGTATAAGAATAATCATATTATAAGGCAACAAAGTCGAGCTGTTAGTACTTAATGACGAAAATAGTTGATATAAGATATTCGATGAGACTCTTAATTTTGCTAAACTTATTCTACATGAAGACTACTATCAAAAACATATGGGGAGTAAGTATAATTATTGTTATTTTATTACAAAATTGTTCTCACTTGTTTTTTTATATACATGCGTTAAGTGTAGACGGATCTTAGAAATGGCCCCATTCAATCCATTTTCAACAGCTTTCGTGCTTGCAAAAAAACACTGATATACCCAACTTGACCAAAATGTCTCAAAAATTGAGACCTGTAGACTATAGGTAAAAATACATGAACATAATTCACAGCGAGCGACAACCTTAAATCAATTTAAAAAATGGTTCTGAAGGTCTATAATATTAAGATACGATAAAAGGTAGAGTTCTTCCCGGTGGTAAATACATCCGCACAAACTTAATCTATCCTGTACCATTAGTGGTGCAAAGCATAGAAAGTAAAAATTTCATAACAAATGATATAACGATATACAATTGCAGGTTTTGAGAAATATTCTTCTCTATCTTTTTAAAAAGTATCCAAAGTTATGCTACAAAAAATTTTATTCCAAAGCACTAAAAATCCATACTCTCTTTTTCTGTTTTTCAGAATTTTTGTTAACCGGTCTTTGCATTTGGAAAATATTAAATTCTACGGCTTTGATATGGACTACACCTTAGCTGGTATAATGTAACAATTAAAAAGTTTCTATGTTTTTTTTAAATTGATTTTCTCTGTAGAGTACAAATCACCTCAATATGAGCAAATGAGTTTTGATTTGGTTAAAGAACGGTTAGTTTCGATGGGTTATCCTAAGGAAATAATGCAATTTGAATATGATCCCTCTTTTCCTATACGTGGTTTATGGTTCGATGCTCTTTATGGTAATTTATTAAAAGTAGATGCTTATGGAAATATATTGGTGTGCGTTCACGGTTTTGAATTTTTAAAGCAGTAAGTAAATGAAAATTAGCTTTTATTTTTACACCCAGATGCATTTAAATAACCTTTAATTTAAATTGTAGTTCACAAGTCTACGAGTTGTATCCGAATAAATTTCTAAAATTGGACGAGTCGCGTGTTTATGTACTAAATACTCTATTTAATTTACCGGAAACTTATATGTTGGCTTGTTTGGTGGATTTCTTTACCAGCGGTGCAGAGTATACTCCGTAAGTAAAGACTAAATTTATACAAGTAAGAAAATTATATTCGACTCTGAACGAATCATACCCGCTATCTTTACCTTACAGAAAATAAAGTAAAAGGTAAACAAAACCAAGTTTCAATACTCTATGGGATATAACTGATTTTTGCGCTTAGTGTAGAAAAATTATGTGGAGCTTTTCATAGTTTATCTGTTGCAACCTATGAGCAGAAGCACAGGCATTTGCCGTCTATTGTAGGTGACATTTACAACCTTAAGGCCATGAATGACCACGTTCATCAATTGGACAGACGGATAGGCCTGAATAAACTCCGGATTTGATGCTGATGCAGAATAAATATACTTTGCGGGGTTTCCGAAACTTCCTTCAGCGTCTTACAAAAGTTTTGACAAAAAAATAACATTTTAATACTCTAGAATATTGGACGGGTGTGGTCGACTTTTACCATTTTTACCACATTTGCTTGTAGGTTTTATAAGATTGCTCACGGAGTATTCTTTTGACTACAAAAAAATGTTTTCCGCACACATCACACAGACAGATGGGCGGACATGCTTATATCGATTGACAATGTGATGGTTATCAAAAATGTATACACTTTGTGGGATTTTTACAAGATGAATACAACCTATTCTTTGGCGGTGAATAAAAATAAAGAAAAAAACATACTCGACTTGAAAAAAGTTACATGGAGAGTGTACATATATTTTACAACCTAATTCCAATAACCTATGATTTTGTCGGAGCGTACAGATTTGTAATAAATTCATAGTAAATTCGTTGTACTTATATGTTTTCGATTTGAAAGGATATCATTAAAATTAGCCATTAATTATTACGAAATATTGGAGCTAATCTATGCACCATCGCTGCACGTTACTTGTCATTTGGTAAGATGTACGCGCCGGCTTGTGCAGTAAAACCCTGAAAAATGAACTGAAAACGGTGTTCTTAGGAATTTGCTACATTTAATTTAAGGGATGTTATCCCAGCCCAATCTGTCATGTCACATTAACAGTAATTACATATTACGGTTAAACTACATTCAGTCTTTTTTGCAAATAAAACTACTGTTACGAATCGTGGTTGAGAATATTTCGAAGTTAACCATCTTTCTGCCTCGTAAATCAATGTTAGTTTCGACTTCTATAAGCACAAATTAGAATTTTCTCATTATAGTTATATCTGAATAACGGCGAAATTTATAACTACGTATTTAGAATGAATGCAGCGAGTTTAAATGTAACATGTCGCAAGCTTTTAGTATTTCGTTGGTGAAAGCGTTGTTCTCAATCACAAAGCTAACGGTTTCAACTTATTATAGTAGTGAAATCTACAAAAGGAATTGCAGGTGAGGAAACATTCCATTACGTATGGGCTTAGCCATGTCACTGAATGAATGCGAACATTGGTTCTACGAAAAAAAAAAGGTTAAAATCTCATAAACTTGAGCGAAGAATATGAAAAAGGAAAACTCTTCTAGGAAGAATTTTCAATTTCAGTTGTTTTTTATTCTTTTAACCATTTTTTCACGTTCATAGCACGCAAGAAGTTTAGAAATGTCCTTTTATACATAAAACAAACTAGCAAAAAATGAAAAGACTCAAAACTCCTGCTTCCTCATCAATTTTTTTTATTTCAAACATTCTTCACTCTTGAGTGAGAACATAGGGTCGCGCACTCTTTAATGTGTAGCAATGAAACCCAAGCATCCGGAAAAATAAGATTAGTTATCTTGCGGCTTTCCATATTGAAAGAGTATTTTAAAAGAGTAATTATAATATTGTTGTAATTTTGGCAAATAACTGCACAATTACGACTGGCGGTGCCTTTCGATGGGTTAAGTGATGGTGTTTGCTGAAGATGACGTTGCTGACGATGTGAATGATGAGAAAGTATAACGCTTTTGATCATAGAGAATATTAGCTTATACATTCTGTTGCTTAATGAGAAATTGTCAAACAGTTTTTGCAATACTGCTCTTCCTATACTGCAACGGGTGGAGACGTATCCACAGCCACCACAGTCAGAAAAGTCAGAGCATTAGGCTCCTCATTCACGGAGCATAGTCGCCTACCGTTCAAGCCCTCTTCTGCCTTCGCTAACATTGCACAAACTCTGGGAAAGTAAACTTTTGAGCCACATATAATTTTCCCAGATGTATGTTAGTATTTTTTTGCCCCGGCTTCCGAAATGCCCATATGGGCAGCTCCTAGTATAAAATAACTGTGTAGTAATTGAAAAGGGCTGTAGAGGATTAAGATTTTATGGGTTCGAGAATCCCACGAAGGCGGTTTAATTAATCGGAACAACAAACGGGCAGCATCGGAAACAAAAGAAGGTAGCAAATGCGCCTAGAAAGGCTTGAGTGAACATGTCGCCAGTGGCTTCGAAGTGAACTGCTTTTATGGTGAACCACACCAATACCAAAATAAATCCTTTTCCAACCTTGCGACGCATACTATGTAAAATGTTATATCAATTAGACCAAGATCAGGTTAAATGGGCCATCGAGACACCGGGTCAGGGACACTAAAATCTGTTTACTTCGTGCTTCTGCTGTTTATGTTACAATTTTGAACAATAGTCTTACCGAAGTTCTTTAGTTTCACTGTCCAAAATTTAGGTCAAGAGAAACGTATCGTAAGAAACATATCTTCGTTTAATGTGCAAATATGTACATAGTTGATTAGCAGTCACCTAGCACAATCTCCATAAAGCAATATTTTGGGAAAGCATTCATTATACGACGGGAAAGTAGACTGCGCTAATCAATCATTAATTTCCCTTTCGGATCCATAACGACATTAGGTTCTAAAGAAGTTAAATTTGTGTTCCTTCGACAATTGCAGTTTTCAGAATAGTGTATCGTATCGTGAAGTTCCTTTGAAATAAAATAATCAAGTGATTTTTTACAAATTCGAATTTAGGCTGAAATGTTAAAGACGGAAAAATGGCTTTCTCTTTAGGTATATGGCTATAATAATACTTTTACGTGGTTTAATTCTTTACGCGTAAGTCGAGTGACGAGTTCGACTGGGTTGTCTCTCGAATTAGAAGACCAGCCTTCATTGCAAGACATGTCAACTGTCGATACTGTACGAATTGCCAAAAATATTGTCCAATGGCGAGAAGACTGACGAGATAAGTACTTGTGACCTCAAAGGATCAAACTAGTGTTAGTGAACATCCGACACGGATAAGCGACTCCAACGTTTGATAATGGGAAGTAAAAAAATTTTCCATTTACTTCCAGGCAGGTAATTAAAACTTCCCGTTATTGGTTTCGTCGGGCGCACGGTAGAGAGTTACTAGAAAGAATATGTTATGGGGCGCTCATGAAGAGCCCAAAAAAGAAAAGACAAACCCACATCAAAATTGTTTAGACGTTACATACAAACTGAATTAACTAATTTCTTAGGTGGCTTTTAGCGCCTGTAACTAGAGACAGATAATAAAACACGACAAGGCAGATTTAGCAAAATAGCATTTTTTTACGCTGACTGCCAGTATAAACTTTATTAGAAGATAAAAACTACAGTTAGCTTAAACTAACTAGGAATTATTGTATAATTATCATATAAATAAATTTTGGTTTATTGGCATTGTCCAGGAAAAATACTCTGGCCAGATGTGCTAATTCAATTGTGTCACAGAAAAATTCTATATGAGCAGAAAATGTAACTGAAGAACCAAGAAAAGCAAAGACACAATTCAAATGTCTTGTTTTGCATTTTTCAAGTAAAAGAAGTTATTGCGTAAGGTCAGTCATATAAGGAAAGAAAAAGGCTAGCTTATTATGTTATGTTATGTTATGATTTACTGAAGTAATATAATTTTAAACGTAGCTTCGCACGTTCAAATATGGTAATGAGGAAACAAAAAAAAAACTATTACATAAGCGCATACGAGAATATAAGTATATGTACACGTAGGAATATAAACACCGCGGCGAATAAATATTTAGCATATAAGGTTAACGTTGAGCCGTTGCCTGATAACTATATAGATGCTGTCCTTTGGAATTTGCGCAGCTTATTCATCTACATATTGCTGCTGACGTTGTTGACATCTTTGTTGTTACCCCTTTTAATTCGCCATATAATTATTCATATTGTGTGTGCTGTATCATATTATGTACTATTGGCCATAAGAAAACTTCTTCTGCCTGTGTTAGCAAAGCTATACGTAGATGTTCTAAAATTTTGTTCAAAATTGAGATTAGGGGAATGTTAGACAGTTTTTGTATATCTGTTATCGATAGCAGTAATAACACTGCTAATTATCAGACATTTGCATGCTTGCTCTTTTGTTCTCATTATTTTTACGGACACACATTCTATTAGTAATTTTGGTATATGACGTAGCATTCTCCCAAATGTTTGCAAAGCATTTGCAGTTATAGGTTTTTAAATGAATATGCGCTATATAATTGCATAGGTACGATAAACATAAAGCAATATATAGGTAGAAAATACGATTTATTTTCTTTTTATCAGTCATTTTAAAAAACTGAGGAATTCTAAATTTTATGTTCGTCAAATGCTTCTATGAATTTCAATCAAAACTTTTATATTAAGGAATATGAAGAATATTTTTTTTATTAAAAAAAATTATATTGTAGTTTATTATATTTCACTTTATCCAAATTACTTATTTTATTTACACACTTGTTAATTTTATTTGTTTACACATATATATTTAACGTATTTTATTAAATTTTCCCTGTCACATATGGGTTATTCTACGCGGCATCTATTCACATTATATTAATATTATATTGTTTATAATCCAAAATTAAGCGATTAAGTAAATGAATAAAATATTAAACAAGCAAGAAAATGTTGTTTCTTTGTAAATGAATCTTCTGTACCTATCCTGTTCTCCTAAAAAGGACTAAAAAAGAAAGAACTAAATTTTCATACTCTATAATTTTGGATGATTTTTTTTTGTTTTCAAAAATGTATGTGTTATACTTTATGAACAACGGGCAAAAGACAAGGAAGTCAAACTGTTCTCACTTTTTGCCGCAAGGGCGTTGTGTGGGTGTTGTAGGAGCGTCACTTTCAAATTTTTTTACAATGTTTCGAAAGATACGCCTACAGTGAAACGTCAACTGAGCTGTTTCTCAAATTGAATAGAAAATTGTCGGTTTTTTGCACAATACTCGTAACTACTACAGCAGTTAAATCTATCTATCTATTTCTCAAACGATAAATTTACCAGAATTTTAAAATAGATAATATAACGTCTGTACCAAAATGGGAAAACTCAGCCCCGCATACCCAATATTAAAGTGTATCAAAATTTTATTTTTTTTCAAAAACCTTTACAAGACACAGAAGCAGATTTCAAAAAGTCCATAAACAGTGGAAATTCTTGTACAATTTCAAATTTGGAATGCAATCACCTGGAAATTTGCAAAAACCTTAAAAATGGCCGAAAGAGAACAAAGAACTCTCTCTCTCTGCAACGCCCAAACGTCTATACAACAGAAACTGAGAACACCTTTACCTTGCGTAGTTTGTGCTCGTTACTCATAAATTGCATAAGTTATACGATGTAAATCTCCACAAAGTTATTCTACAAGAATATCAAAAATCAGCCACGCCCCAATAATATAAAGTATGCGAACTTATATTTTCCCTTCTTTTCTATCTTTTATAGAATAACGATAAAGGGTCTGATAAATTCGGTCGCAACTGAATATAATTTTCTTAACTGTTTCGATTAGTGTACTCTAAATCGGCATGCTTTCGGGCCAATAGTTTCGAATTTTTGTGCAATAAGACTATTAACGTAAAGTGCTGTAGGTGGCGTCTATGCTAAATTATGTTTACTTTCATTCGGTTCTGCTGGGTACATTCTATGTTAATGACAGTAAAAAAAAATTTTGTCAAAAAATTTGTTAAAAAAATAAAAATTTTTGAATCAAATGTGTTAAGATGAAACAACAAAGTTGTCTAAGAGTTTTCTCGCCAACCCATGGCTGAAAAGAAATCAAAATTATTGAAATCACAGTAGTATTTGAAAGATCTCATTATTAAAGTAGAAGATATTTTTAGTGTATACGGACATGTAATTTTTAATATGTCCGCAAAATTAAACCAGGATAGCTTGGAAAATTTTTTCAGAAAATTGTTATCTATTTTAGAAGATGACATCAGTGTACGAATAAAACTGTCTTGTGGTACGAAGTTTATTGTTAGACACCGCAAGTTTAAACTATGATTATTTAATTGTTTAATTTTGGAATATAAACAATATAAAATAAAGTGAATAGACGACATTTGTGACATGAAAAATTGAATAAATTATAATAAATATAATAAACCACAATATAATTTTTTTCAATAATTAAAATTTTCTTCATGTTTGTTGAAATAAAAATTTTCATTGAAATTTTTTGAAGCATTTAGCGAACGTTAAGTTTAGAATTCCTCAATTCTTCAAAATAAATGGTAAACAGAAAATAAATCTTATTTTCTACCTACATATCTATTCTTTCGTACACACGCTGTTATATAGCGCATATTCACTTAAAAACGCGAAATTGTATTTGCTTTACAAATGTTTGAGAGAATGCGAAGTCATATCAAGAAACTATTAACAGCATTTTTGCGCCCATACAACAAGCTTACTACTTGCTACTGTTATTGGTAACAGAAACGCAGAAAATATGTAATAATGTCTTAGTTAGAATTTTGAACAAGACATCACATTCTCGTGTCATTTAGTTGTGTGTGGTATTATGTACTGTTGATTACAATAAGTAGACATCGTGGATAACCACAAAAATAAATGCATGAAATGTTAAAGGTACAAACCTAGTTGGGACTAGTGAAAAGTAAGTAATTTGATTCAACAGTAAAACTACAAAAAAAGCACGTGGTAGTAGGGCACCTTAATCTTCGAGAGAGATTGAGAGTTATGTAATTTGGAAGAAATAATGGAAAAATAAGGCGTAAATTACGTTTAGTTACAAGCTTTGGCGCATTAAGAATGTTAGTTAGACATTTGGAGTACAAAGAAAAAGGATTGGTTTACATACCTTTCACAAATTTAAAATTTTTGTTTTGGTTCGGCTGTTTGTAAGTAAACAATTTCGTTGGCAATTTATTTTATTTTAACTGTTTTCTCTTATAAATGCAGCTCTTAACAACTAATACTAACACAGAACAACTTATGCTGACGCAAAGCGACAGCAATTTTGCTTACGCCAGCTTTGACAATTCAGAGGGAGCGTTTCTCGCATCTCTTGTGCATATATAAAGCTAAAAAAATGGGAAATCGATAATGAAACCTAGTTAACACCAAACGTAATTAATGCTATGATGTTTTAAAAATTTTAAATAGTGACCTTATATCTTGCTTTTGTAAGTGCAAGGTATAGACTGAATGTTCCTCATGAACCAGGTGCAAGTTAATCCATCAATTTGGCATTGTGCTTAACGGTGTCGTTCGTTGTTTCTACATCATCAATAAGGAACACTACTAATGTGTAACCACCAAAATAGCTTAGGATCGAAATAATTAAAGGGCGTGGTTTTATACAATTAACAAAGAGACCAATACCCGATCCTTCTGAACTACAATATATACCAGGAAGAAAACAATTAGGTTATATTTAGATACAAAACATGTTGGTGTACTCAATTTTAATGGTGTCGCATGGAAATATGTATAGTTTTTAATTAATATGAAAAGGCAGAAAGAAAGTAAGAGAATTGTCAACAAGTAAGAACGCTAGTCGGGCAAAGCCAACTATTGGATACCCTATATCACTTCGACTAATATAACCATTTATTCAATAAAATTGTACATTGTTTATATATGGAGGCATAGTTTTCATGAGAGATTTCAAATTGAAGAACGTTCAAAACGCCAAATAACGTAATCCAAGGATTCAAACTTAGTTTACTTATTAATTAATTAATTTTACTAATTTCCACTTGCTTCCGTCATAAAAAACTACTAGTTAGACTTTGCAGCCATAGAAGGGATTACTTTTTATAAAAGCCCTATATACGTTTGGGTTTAAAAAATAAATCTACTTGATCCAAATTTGATACAGTTTTATATCAAATTACTTTTACGAACCGATTTTCATTGTAAAATGCCATAATTTGTCATATAAAGACTTAATCTTCATTTGCACCCTGTTTAAGAGGCGGGGTCCAGAAAATACTCTTATCCAAATCCAATTCGGTAATGGTTATGGCAAATAATTATTATGAACGAATTTTTACTACGAAATATTGAAATTTAGGCGGTTTTACCATACAAAGATTCAGTTCCCGTGGAAACGGATAAGTGATAGGGAGTTCAAAAAATCCCATCCTAGCCAAATTTTTTTCATTAATATATAGTCCTTTTTGTCGCTAAAATTTTAAAAATTACAATATTTTCTTATATTGCTTTGCTAAGTTGTAATATGGGGCTTGATGGAGAAATTTATGCGATCCGAATAATTTTTAATGTCGTTCGTCCGTGGACCAAAACACATCAAATTTTATCAAAATATCTCAAAAATTGCGACATGTAAGCTCAACTGTAAAGACAAGGAAGGCACGCTTAGATCAACTCAGAATTACTTTTATGTCGACCAGCATAATAAAAGATGGATCTACCTGAAGATCTTCTGGGTATTGCACGTTTCCGCATAAGCTTCATGCACACAGTACCACGATGATGTTGAGAATAAGACGAGAAATTATTTACATAGAGGTGTTGATACATTTGTATGCACAAAAAAAACTATAACCACTTTTGTATTTGTATATGAATAGACATTTAAGATTAGATTTAATGCTTTAGTGGTCTCTTCTCAAATGTGCATTTTAGTTTACGCGACGGTGAACAAAATGAAATTCAAGACTAATTATTTTACTTTAATGTTCTCTTTTTAAACTATGTGTCAGTTTTTGCCAAAATCTGAATGCCCTTTATGTGTCGCTAGATCATAAACAAAGAAATTGAACGTCGCTTGGCGTTTTATTGTTTAGTGTTTACGAATGCAAACATTACTTGAACGTGTTCGGTAATTCTTTGATAGTGGAGAAATATAGTATTATTTCAATGGTATCGTACAATATGGCATCATACCCTTTGAACTCTTAACCCGTTTTGAAGGGCGAGCGAAAGGTTGAGTGAAAATGCAACATGTGCAAACAAAAAAGTGGAAAATTGAGCGGAGAATGCGAAAAAAGAACAACTTAATCTCAATAAAACGGTTTATTCGGTGAACAATTTTTCTTTAATAAAATAAATTATATATAATATATGTAGAAACACCATAAATTTTTTTAGTAGTAGTATAAGTTCACTTTTATGCATAAAAGAGACTATCAAGAATGAAAAGAATGTAGCATAGACACAAAAAAATGAGTCTAACTGCGTATATGTGACCACAGCCAAATCCTCACATCACATTTACTTTAGGCTGAAATAGTGAATCGTAACTTTATATTTTTTTAGTTACTACATAATATTTAATATCCTAGCACAAATCATGTTTTTCAGATAATGGTGATGGTTAGTGCAATAAACGTTCCTCTTTTGTTCTACATAAATTTCGTAAACTCGTATTTTTATAATAAACATTTTGACACTCATTTTAGAGATCGTACGGGGGTCAAGGCTGGCGAATTATTTATGTCTTTTAATTCTATATTCCAAGATGTACGTCGTGCAGTGGATTGGGTTCATATTCAAGGCGATTTAAAACAGAAAACTGTTGAGGTATGTCTTCCCCTGGTTGGTAGTTGCTTTTCATCTGAAAGCTTCTTCTATTACAACAGAACTTAGATCATTATGTAAAAAAAGATGAACGTTTACCGATGGTTTTAGCCCGCATTCGTGAATCCGGCGCTAAAGTATTTTTGCTAACCAATAGTGATTACAACTTCACGAATAACATAATGACATTTTTATTTGACTTTCCACATGGTGCTAAACCAGAGGAACCACATCGTGATTGGAAAACCTATTTCGATGTAATTGTAGTGGACGCTCGTAAACCACTCTTTTTTGCTGAGGGCACTATTCTTAGACAAGTTAATACCGAAACTGGTGCTTTAAAAATCGGTTCACATATGGGACCTTTGCAGCCAGGGCAAGTATATTCTGGAGGTTCTTGTGAAGTTCTCACCAGTTTCATAAATGCCAAGGGTAAAGATGTGCTTTATATTGGCGATCATATATTTGGTGATATACTGAAGTCGAAAAAGATACGCGGTTGGCGCACATTTTTAGTAATTCCGGAATTAGTCCAAGAATTACATGTGTGGACTGATAAATGTCAATTTTTTGCCGAGCTACAGCAACTGGATTGTAAGTTGGGGGAGATGTTTAAGTAAGGCTTATGAGTAAAATTTTTCGAGTTAATAATTAAAATTTCCCTATGTCCAACAAGAAATTTGGACTCGAGTGCCAAAGAAAAACCGGACATATCGAATGTCCGCGGTTCCATTCGCGATGTGACTCACAAAATGGATATGGCCTACGGCATGATGGGTTCGCTTTTCCGTTCTGGATCACGACAAACTTTCTTTTCAAGTCAGGTGGTTAGATATGCGGACTTGTATGCGGCCACATTTCTCAATTTTATTTACTATCCATTTTCGTATATGTTTCGTGCGCCTGCCATGCTTCTACCGCACGAATCCACCGTGGCACATGAACAACGATTCCAAGGTGATGGACCACAAGATCAAAAAATAAAATGCTCACCCTCTTCAGCAACTCAAGCAACAGTTAGCTCAACTGTTCCTAGCTCGAAGCCTGTTACAACACAAAAGGACCATGAAGGGGATACGGTAAGTCAAGTAATCGTGTTTATATTTCTATAATTACCCACTTTGCTTTTCTGCTATTCACCTTCCTTATTGCTTTCTACTTTCTTATTCAGAGCTCTACTGTTTTACATACACGACCCAGTACACCTCGTACTGTAACCCATACGCATGATGAAGATTATTCAGAAGAAGAATCTGAACCCAATTATAAATCAAATGCTGAAGAAGATAACGGAAATTCAAAACCACTTTAATTTTGTTTCGAGATATGTTTGGTTTTAAAAACTGAATATTCTTAGTGAGAAACCGCAAAATTAAAACCAAAAAACCTCGAAAAAGTAAATATTTAATAGAAATCAACATTCTGTAAGCTATTCCCCTTCTTAATTTATCTGTCAAATTATAATAATAGAAAATTTCGTTTTTCAAATCTATTAAAATTTTTTTGTTTGTAAAATTTTTTTCCAATAGCTTGTAAATTCACGTAAAATGTTAAATAAAAATTTTATAATATATTGAGTAATGTAAATCAATTAAGCAAGACGGACAATTAAATTCGGGCAAAAGTCTGAACCTTTTTCCAACATTTTCCATATTTTCAGAAAAAATCGTCCAGATTGTAGTGGTAGCAGTGTCTTATTAGCCATATTATATGCTTTTCCATCGTATTCATTCAATTCACAGTTCTTCCTGACTTTGAATTTATTGCCACTCGTGCGAAAATTAACAATAAAAACTTATATTTGACATATTCTTACATTCCTCCTAATGCAGATAGTTCCCCTTATAGAAAACGTGCATTTCTTATTTGTGACCTGGCTACGTAATCACAGCCTTCGGATATGGTTACAGCATTGGGGGATTTCAATTCAATCTCGCAAGCCACTTGACATTTAGCGTTAATTCAAGCCGTATGGTCCCCACATCATCTGAAAAACGTTGCGTTTTGCAATAAAATATATAATCGGAATCTTCTTCAATGTAATAACGTGGCTAATTGTAATAGGAGAATCTTAGATCTCAGCTTTGTTAATTTTCCTGAAAAAAATCTAAATCGCTGTATGGTTTTTGGTTTAGCTGCAGACTCATGGTATTTGTCTATCCGTGCAATTCAAGCATGATGACATGTTGAGTCTCTCCAACAAGTTAAATCTCACTTGATCAAATTACAATATAAGTTTAGAAAACTCAATATTTCGTTGCCTAAAGGTCACCTTTCACATATTTATCATAGTATACTTAATTTAATTGCCGATTCGAAATTGATGAAGTTAAACAGAACCCTGAATGCTCTGTTATGCAGGTAATTTCAGGGTTTTGGAAAGAAATGCCTCTTCTGTGTTTTGCTGCAATTAGTTTGCTTGACAACTATACTTAATAGTAAGAGATAACTTTACTTTGTTATTAAAAGAGCCCAATAACACATAAGATCAAACTATTCTTGACCTCCTCGAACGCTTCGGTCGTTGCAGAAACAAGCTTCAAAAACCCTATAAAGTATATAAATTCTTGGCCAGCTTCAAATTTGGAATGTACCTAAACATGTCCGCTTATTCGTCTGTCCATTTTTTTGCTTGCGCAACTTTGTAGTATGTTTAATAAACATTCTCCCGTTAGCGAAAATAGAGATATTGCCTACAAATTTGCAAAAGTATTTGGAATTGACACAAGCTTTTCAAAGCACACACTTCCAACGCATACGTGCCTATGCGACAAAATCTTTTATCTTGAAAATAGAAAATACCGGCAGCGCCCACTCCGCGTTATAGGGCATAAAAGTGTTGTTCTTTTACTTCTTTTGTCTTTTTGAGGATAACGGTGATGGACATAAAAAATTCAGGCACCAACGAATGTAATTTTCTTATTTGTTCAGTTTCGAGTTATAAAAGAAATACTTTCAAAAAATTATAAAGTTTGTTTGCTGATGCAAGCCCTACATCCAATGATTTTTATCAAATATTCGGTGCAAGTTTGGATAGGCACATGTTACACCAACTCCGACCATCGTTCTTGGTAGAGGTTCATCTGGCTGGAGTTCGCCGTTTATGCCTTCAAGACCCCACTTATTCAAGTATGAATTACGGCGGTAATGTATGTGTGGTATTACCATGTACTGAATTAAACTTTTGAGGAACAACTTGCGTCAAACCTTTGATTTCGAATTATTCATATTTGAATAAATAGTTAGCTAGATGACTTTGCCTGCTATCGCACATGCGTCTACTAAATTATAAAATAGGACAACAGTTTTGGGTCCCGCAAAAAATGAATACGGTATTTAATCCAAACTATTAATCCCTTCTTTCGTTATGTTACAAAATGTGTTGATTCGGTTTTTTTTTTATCCCTCTAAATGTCCAACTAGGCTAAGGATCTCGACTAACATCGCAACGGTGGTGAGTTCAAATCTCAAGGACGATACAGTTTCCAATAAAGCCAATAGCCTCAGATGATAGTAACTAAAACTTCTGTTTTTGAATATGTTTCTTTAAATTTATTATAATAATATTAGATTTGCTTTTCATATTCACGTCAATTTCTGCACCGTGGTGTAATGTTGATAATAAAACGGCAGCCTTATCCTTTATGGTACATAGCTCACTAACGTAAGATATTTTCTGAAGCAAAGCATACTGCTTTTTACTTTTGGCCGTTTGTGCGGCAAAAATGCATTTCTTATTTTTCCAAAGAGTTTCAACGGGCGTCAATTCAATAGATACGGAAATTTTGAAGCGGGCTACTGCCGTTATTCTTCTAAAATTCTACGCACAATACCTCAGCACACGTCTGCCACAAATTTTCTCCTTCATTGTATCCTTCCCGTCCAAGATATGGGATTCCTTTTAATTTCGTATGGTCATGCATATATATATATATATATGTATGCATGGTTCTTTTATTCCTTTCATTAGATTTTTGGTAGCAATCATGTAGCAGCCATTCTTCCGTACATGCTATTTACTTATTTATTTATTTATTTATTTATTTCACTTATACAAGAAACGCAACTAAATATGTTGACAGTCGAGTTCAATTGACTCTTAAAAGCAAAACTTTTATTAATTAATATTAAAACTTAGAATAAGTACAAGAAAACAAATAAGAAGGAAAAAAAAAGCATGTACACAACCAGCATAGAGCCACACTTACAACTGGTAAAGGGCCGAATTGCAAATGAAATCCTAAGCCATCGCAAACATGCATAAGCTTGGCAACCGATAATAGTTAACAACAATTCATTTTCGACCCATCCTGACATTTTAAGGTTATGAGCTAGTTTAAGTACGACATAGGTAAATTATGCGTATTAAGAAATGTTGCTTTAATGGATTTTAAAGAGTCCGATAATGAGAATAAGTGATTGACATCATTTAGGTTCTTGCAAACAACTTTAAGCTTAAGTTAAACAGATCATAATTATATTTACATTGATTAAGCTTAACCAGGGTAAAGTGCCTAGAGAAGCGGTTGGGGACATTAAAGGTTATTTCACCAACTAATGCAGGCGAGTCAATAGCAACATTTATTACTTTGATTACGAAGGAAACGCCAAGAACAAATCTACGTTTGCCGAGAGACGGTAGGGACAACAAAAGCAACCTATTTTCATAGGAGGCAAGAGAGTCAATCGGATCCCAACCCAAATTCCTAAGGGCATACAGCAAGAATTGCTAAATAGAAAGGGAAGCCAGAGGCTTGGAGTTTAAAGATAAATAAGTTATGGTTAACCAAATCAAAGGCTTTGCTTAAATCAGTGTATATTACATCTGTGCAAAAGCGACTAGAAAAAGTCTTGAAAACATGACAAGGAAACTCTAGCAAATTGATGACCGTAGATCGCCCTTTCCGAAAGCCATGCTGGTGTGGAGAAATATACGGATTAATGGCAAGTGCCAAATGCTGAGTCACAATTCACTCAAACAGCTTAGGCAAGACACTCAACTAGGCTATGCCCCTGCAGTTCTCAACAAGTTGTCTACTTCCACTTTTGTGAATGGGAATAAGGAAAGTACTCTTCCAACATGAAGGGAAAATACCTAAATTCAAAGGACGGTTAAAAATCTTTGAGATAACACCACATAACTCGACGACGTAGGATTTAAGTACGCATGATGGAATTCCATTAGGTCCAGGCGCACAACTATATTTTAGAGAGCTCAACCCTTTAAACACGTCATTTTCAGAAGTAACCAAATTGGGAATTGAAATCAGATTAGTTATGGGATATGGATAGTTGTTTATAAATCGGTCGAAAAGTTTCGTCGGAAGTATTCAGCAAAGAGATTTGAGATTTCACAATCATCCGAGGAATCAGAGCCATTAAAAAAAACACGCGAAGGATGTGTGGAAATACTTCTTTTTGAGTTAACAAATTTAAAAAAGTATTTAGGATTAGCAAACAGAGAGGATTTAATGAACTGCAAATATCTGCAATAATAATGGTGGTTGAGGGAGTTAAATCTATGCCATGCCACGGAGTAAGCAAAATAGTCAAGAGCAGAGCCATTTTTCGAATATTTTTTGAATAAGTTGTTTTTTCTGTTCTTGTAATGTTTAATTGTCCTATTAAACCACGGGGGACACCTGCTTCGAGCTCGGCACTACTTGATCGGAACAGATGCAGCAATAGCTAGCTTTAATGTTTTGTAGAACGATGATAATAAACTTGTAATACTTCCAGTTGAGAAATCAAGCCTTATAGGTGAAAGGTGATATTTTAGCAATACAATATTGATTTTATGAAAATCGTAATATTTATTTGGAAAAGTTGGATTTGGAATTAAAACAGTTCAACGAACCATCATGCTTGTGATGAAAGGAAATACACATTGCTGGATGATAAGGATCCCCAGGTAAACTAGAAGGTGGACAACGATTTACGTTAATCTCAGGAAAGTTGGCAAAGCAGAGATCAAGCAGTCTACCATTACAATTAGGGGTACGATTATATAGAACCAAATTATGATCAAACAATTCATTAAGGAACACAACAACCCTATCAGACGTTGAAGTAGGAATCAAATAGCCAGAATTATCACTATCACACCAAGTGACTTAAGGCAAATTGAAGTCTCCCAACACAACTACCAAATCGGTGGGTCTCTTCTTATATATGGTCTGTTTCTTTTATATGGAGATATCAGAATTTGGGGGAATATAGGAGCAGGTTATAAGTAGTTGTTTATTAGGCATTTTCACTCGAATGGCGATAAATTCAAAGTCAGCAGTAGTAGGAAATTCAATTGATTTGGACGGAAATGACGAAGATATGGAAATTAATACACCACCACCAATGCGCTCCAATCGAACAGTTCTGAAAATCTAGAAAGAATTGTGGAAAAGTTCAGACGAATATATATCAGGTTTTAATCAAGTTTCAGTGAAGGCAAAACAGAAGA